CTAACCCAAGGGGTTTACCTGGAAGAGGACAGATCTTCCACTGGTGAAAACTGGTCATGTTTGTGAAAATGCAGAAAAATGTATGATTTAAACTTCCTTGCACTAGTCATTTGTAGTGTTTTCATTTGCTTTGGTAGTGCAGGTCTACAAAATTTGCAAGACAATGAGGAGTAAGGATTGTCTCTGGGTAACTGGATGGCTGTACTTCATGAACAGATGATAATTTTAGGTTTGTGTTGTGCCTACTTAAATAGATATAAATGGAAATTGAGCATTAAGAAAGAAGCTGAATGCTTCAGACAGACTTGTTAATGTATACAGTATTACTTATTTATTTATTTTAGATGGCAAAGAATTCGATGCGTTTGTGTCCTATGCAAAGCTAAACTCTTCTTCTGAAAGTGATTCTGCTTTAATTAGTGAGGAAAAATTTGCCCTGGAGCTTCTTCCAAACATGCTGGAAAATAAATATGGATACAAGTTATGCATTCTTGAAAGAGATGTTCTTCCAGGAGGAGGTAAGGTCCCTGTGAGTGACAGAAAATATTCAGTTCTTTATCAAATTTCTTTTCACTTTCCAAAAAACCTTATGCACCAGATCAGCAAATGGTGTTTGGTATGAGAGTTTCTGCTTGAATCTCATTGTATTTTGATCTTTATATGTGGCCCTTACACCTGAGGCATATGAACGTTCGAGTGTGGTCGTTGGGAGTTACTAGGCTGAGACAAAGCTTCTTGTGCAGGAATTTCTTTGCAAGCAGGCTCCATTCCCTAAAATGACCCCAAATATTTCAGTAGTTACTTTCTGAGCAACGTTAGTCAGTGCTACCTGCAGTATTTTGAAAGGCCGCACTACCTGTCCCCTGGGAGAGACAAAGACAAGTCCAAGTGTCCCTTGAGACCCCGTTTTAGTAGCAACAAAGTATGTTGAGGTCTCAGCTGTGTCCTCCACTTCCTGAACAGCAAGTTGTGTTCTCCAGGCTGCATAAGAATGGCTGCAGTACCCTCTGACAGCAAACACATTTCTAGCGGTTATGTGATTGCTTAGCATCCCTACTTTTTGGTTTTCCTTATTTCTGGGTTTTAGCTGTTGATAAAGCAACTGATTAGATAAAAAGTCTGATATAGAATGCAGTAATGATCACCATTTCTTCTCCAGCATACACAGATGAAGTTGTTACAGCTATTAAACAAAGCAGACGAGCAATTATTATTTTGAGCCCAGCCTACATCAGTGGACCAAGCATCTTTGAACTGCAGGCAGCAGTGAACTGTGCGTTGGAAGACAAAAAGATCAAAGTGGTATTAATAAAGTTCCAGGCTTTCCAAGAACCAGAGACTTTGCCTCCAGTAGTGAAGAAAGCTCTTCGGATTTTACCCATCATTACCTGGAAGTCTTCTATTTCTGCTGCTCCAAACAAGAAGTTCTGGAAATACATGCATTACCACATGCCAGTGAAAAGTACTAAGATGCTGGGAAATTGCAGCCTAAAGGACTTTTTTCCAAAGGTTATTCAGTCTGGTATATCGGTAGCAGAAATTTCACAGAGGGATGACAGCAGGCTCAGAAATGGTGACGTGATTGTAAAAGACCTTTTCCACATCGTCTGACCAGTGTGGACTGTCACTGCAGCCAGCAATACCTCACTCCAATACAGAGAGAAGGACTGCAGTGTGACAGTGCTGCAGCGCACAGTAAAACTAAGTGGCACTGCACACAACTGTGAATGTGAGGTCTCTTTCATAAATTATTATTTTATTATTTATGATATTATTTTGCTATGATGTTGAGACATATATGTGAACGTTTTGTTCTTCGCATTGTGTTTCTTCTGGAATATTTTTATACTTGTTTTCTAGAAAAAGATTAAAAAAGGGAACTCCAGAGGAAGGTTGCAGTTTAATTGTTCTTTGCATTCCAGTGGGACAAATCCAAACTCTTTTAAAAGAGTTACCTCCTCGTGTGGGAGTACCAAAGAAGAAAAATTCTGTCAGACTGTCACAACTGGGTCTGCTGAAGGGGTTGAGAAAAGAAGGAGCACTGTGTCAGGGCTGATCCCAGGCATCTCCATCCTTCCTGCAAGAGGAGAAAGCATTCCCACCAGTTGTGAAACATTTCACGCTCAGAGACATCTGCACGCTGCTGATCCTGTCTGGTGCTGATCCCACTGAACCTGTTGGTATTATGGGTGTGTTGCGGTTGTAAATCAAAGTCCTAGTTGTCACAGCTGGTAGACTTCCAGGGATTCTGAAGTCCTTTCCTTGCAGCCCTCTGGCTGCTAACTCTCCAGGGTTTGTGTCACTTACCCTCAAGGCAGCTTGCAGTTTGTGGTGTATGGCTGTAGCTAAGTGAAATGCAATGTTTAGCATTAAGAAAATATGAGTAGGAGAGTCACTGATCTGCTGTTCTGCTGACTTCATTTGGCCTTCAAGTTAACAAATCCTTGTTTTATAATGCTAGTTGGATTATCCTATCCCCCAGATTCCTTGTTGGAAAGGGACTTCAAGAAATACTGTTGTTAAAAGGACCAGGATTCTAAAAAAGAACAACTCTGTCAAACAGGCTGAACATTATCTACCTAATTTTTTAATGTCTTCAAAGCCTTCAGTGGGATGACTGGTGGTGGTGCTGTGGGACAGAAGACAGTGCCTTGTGTAGAAACAGGACATCAAATGGGATCACTGGCTGTATCAGAGAAAACTCTGATGCTGTAGTTTCACCTGCATTGGGGTTTTGTTCAGACCATGATAAGCTTTCGAAGCAAATTTCCCAGTTGTCACCACTTGTTGCTTTAGCTTTGCGCTACAGAGCATCACAGGTGCACACACTGGATCCCTTTCCATGGAAAGTGAAGTGGAAGATATTCTCCAGCCATGAAGGGACATTCAGTCTGTGGGACCAGCTGGCTTGAAGGAATCCCCTCCCAAACACATGCAGTGTGGATGTGGGGTCTTCAGCACTAGTTGTTTTGGGGTACATCTCTGTTCTCACTAGTCGGCAGTAGATGCTAATCTTGAGGTAACCTGTCAGTCTGTGAGATTCAGCATTGTCCACAATGCTGAATCAGTGAGCAATTTGAATGATTTGTCAGTAAATTAAATTTACTCACTTCTAATGTATGTAATGCAGGCATTAGCAGCTTCTGATCAACACTAGTATGTTTGCACGCTTTGTTATCCTAATGCTAAACATAGTAGATGGTAGTTTTTGTGGAGGAGAGAAAAGGCTGAACTTTTAAAGAAAAGGCCCATAAGGGTGAATATCGTGTTGAAGGAGGATAACGTGGCTTTCCAGTAAATGCCTTCCTGGCACGAATAAAACAAATGTCAAATACAAGACAACTCAAGGTCTGGTTTCAGGTACGTGATGTGACTCAGACCTTGTTCTTTCTGTTGTTATAATATGCTGAGTTACATAGAGGCATTTAAGAGAGAGAACACATTTCTAAATAAGAACGTAATGCGCGTGGTCCTCCACCAGATGTCCCTGCTGTAAGCCTTTCAGAGTCCTATTTATTTACACATCAAGTAGTTTTGTCACCAGGTGAGAAAGGACCAGTGAGCAGTGCCAAGGGTGGTACCTGAGGTGCAAGTTGCACTGGGGAGGCAGACGGGGAGTGAGGGCAGGAGAGGAAGGTTGCCTGCCTGCCCAGGGCACCACCATCTCTCCCACCTGATGCTGTTTACTCAGGTTGTGCTTGCTGCCTGAATGGTCTGCATTGCAGGGTTTTTTTTTTTTTTTTTGTCTTATTTATCTTTTTTTTTGACAGTGGGAAAAAAATCAGAGCGGCTGGAAGAATGATGTAGTTGAAAAGAGCTTTTTATTCCTTAACAGAGTGATACTGTGGCCAAGGTTTATCTGGGTCGGAGCAACCTGCAGAACCGGTATCTTCATACAAACTCCAGGTCCGTCTGTAACACAAGGAACAGGACAGGCACATTAGGGCTTTTAAAATTACCTCTAACAGGCAAATGAAGCAGGCCTGAGGAAGAAGCGGCCGTGACCACGAACAGCGCGAATCAACAGGAGTGTTGCATACCTTCATGCACCCACTATATGCTATATTTGTAATAACATAGTCACAGCCCCAGACATGGGCTCTGCTGCACTTGCACACGCAAAGCTTTTGAACTGGTTGCTGTTGCTATTGAGTCTAGTATGCTGTTCTGCTGCTGTTTATGTGAATGAGCCCAACCTGAGCAAAAGTTTCTTGCCTCACTATGAACCTGATCATGGGGATGCCGTTAGTTCTTCCCAAGATATGAGGCTCCATGTTTTCACAGTGGACTATGACTATGTTCAAATTCCCTATGAAGTTACCCTTTGGATCCTCCTTGCCTCTCTTGCAAAAATAGGTAAGTAGAATATGGGATCTTGGCTCTTCCTATCTTGGCGAGAATATACCATGTAACCTAGTATCTTCCATCCATTTTTTTAGCTGGCATTGTTTTTACAGCTTCTGTCCTCAAAAGAACAGGTGTGTTCATTGCCATGACAATTACAAAATTCCAACTCTGAATGGTTCCAGCTTACTTAAGTATACTTGGGCTGTCTGTATTAGTGAGCAGCAATGGAGCTCCCCTACACAGTGTTGTCCATCCCTTTTTCTAGTTTAATTACAAGATATCAGAATTTACCGCCTGCTACACCTGTAGAAATCAGTATCACCAGACTAATACTTCAAGCATATTGAAATTGGGGGAGTAAAGAGGGAAGAATTCTTCCACTGTGTAAATAATAGGAACATTTCCCTGCGAGTCTTTGTTTTACGTTTGCTGTTTAAAGTTGCTCAGAAAGTTTTATTTTCAGAAAAGTTTCTGAGATGGACTGAAAGTCTAAGAGGGTGAGGTCATCAGAGATGTTGGGTAAGTGCTTTTGAATACATACCAATACAGCTAGCTTCTATTAGAGCTCCATGGAGGTATATGAATGAAGAAAGACAGCTCCTGGAGAAGTAGGAACTGCAATTAACATATTAAATATGGCTCACCATGTGTTTTCCATGTCTGCATGGCTGGGATCAAATTACTTTGACCATTCAGAATTAATGCAGCACTATCAAATAGATGAAAAAGATAGTAATAATGTGAAGAACTGCACACATGTGATCTCCCTGTCCTTTGACCTTTTCATGGGATTTTCAAACATTACTATAGAACAGGCTGGTAGGTGGGACTGATAATTTTCTGGAGGTGGCCTGAAGATAAACTTTTTCCATGTCATAGTCACACAATTGACAAAAATCGTTACCACTGGCCATGATTTGCCAGTTTCATAATAGCTGATGATCTCAATACAATTCCTGTAAACACATGTATTTACTGATAAAATAATAATAAAAATTTTCACAATTCAAATTTGTTGTTATGGCTTCAGCAGAGTGTGTTAGCAGTGAGCATATTGACCAATTTCTTTATTCATCATCCACAAAAGCACAGGACTTGCCACATGGCACATCTACTCAATACTCTTGTTTTGAGCAAGAAATACTTTAGAACTGTGTGATGACTGCTTCACACAGTCTGATGCAAGTTTTCAAATAATATTATTTCTGATGAAAAGTGTGAAGTTGCTGACTTCATATCTAGTCGGAAGAAAGAGTTAGTCTGAATAATCTGGTTACCCATGGAAGATTTCCAAACTTAAAAATTTTCGGTGTTTTATTCTGATATTTTCTTCTTTCTGGATTTCAGGATTTCATGGTGGGAAACATTTCTGAGATCTTGAAAGGCAAAACAATCCCCTTATTCTGTAGAACCGACAGAAGACTTGAACATGATTTTTTCAGTTAAAAAAGGAGATGAGTAGAGTTGTGATCTTAGCATTCTTTTTGTTAAAAAAAATAGTCTCCTAAATAAATTATTTGAAATGTCATAAAAATATTTTTCTTTTCCTTTACTTTTGAACATTGATAATTTGAGGGTGACAGAAATGCAGTCATGGCTTTAGCTTCTAGAGTTACAGAATAAAGGTTGACCCAGCTTCAGGCATAGAGACACAGCCATTGGATTTGTAGGTTTCTTAGCCTGCCTCATCTTTATTCTTGTAAATTCTGAAAAAATCCTTACATTTCTAGTAGAGACACCTCCCATTCGCAATATGATTACACAGTTCCTGGTACAGTGAGATGAGCCATTGCTAGACATTATCTTAGTATTAGTATCAGTATTTGTGTAAAACTGGAAGAATTATATGAACACAGTTGCAGTAGTAGCACATCGAGGTGGGCAGGAGGAGATTCACACCCACAACACGTATATGATATGTGTAGCCCTTTCTCTGTATAACAGTTTGGCTACATCAATGCTTGTAAACTAACAAGCATCCTGTCGGGAAGCTGTGTGTGGCTGTCCGTACCACATCAGTGTCGGTGTGGTCCTTCTCAGCTCTGGCCCATGTTGACAAGCCTTCTCCCAGGCAGTGCCCAGGCAGCCTGTGGGCCACGATTTGTTCCCACAGGCAGTTTGGATGTGGTCACTTCTTGCTGGGGTAGGGAACAGAATTTGGCTGTATGGATACAAGCTGAACCTTTCTGCTTGGAAAAGTCTTTGGGCTGCTTAATTCGCTAGTGTAGACTCAGCCTTTTTTCTACCGAGGAAAAAAAAAATCC